CTCAGTCCTCACACCTGTCCATCACCTAGTGTGAGACCTGGACACCTGACCTCAATCCTCACACCTGTGCATCACCTACAGTGAGACCTGGACACCTGACCTCAGTCTCACACCTGTCCATCACCTAGTGTGAGACCTGGACACCTGACCTCAGTCTCACACCTGTCCATCACCTAGTGTGAGACCTGGACACCTGACCTCAGTCCTCACACCTGTCCATCACCTAGTGTAGACCTGGACACCTGACCTCAGTCCTCACCTGTCCATCCCTAGTGTGAGACCTGGACACCTGACCCAGTCCTCACACCTGTCCATCACCTAGTGTGAGACCTGGACACCTGACCTCAGTCCTACACCTGTCCATCACCTACTGAGACCTGGACACCTGACCTCAGTCCTCACACCTGTCCATCACCTACATGAGACCTGGACACCTGACCTCAGTCCTCACACCTGTCCATCACCTAGTGTGAGACCTGGACACCTGACCTCAGTCCTCACACCTCTCCATCACCTAGTGTGAGACCTGGACACCTGACCTCAGTCCTCACACCTGTCCATCACCTACAGTGAGACCTGGACACCTGACCTCAGTCCTCACACCTCCCCCCTACAGTGAGACCTGGACACCTGACCTCAGTCCTCACACCTGCCATCACCTAGTGTGAGACCTGGACACCTGACCTCAGTCCTCACACCTGCCCGTCACCTACAGTGAGACCTGGACACCTGACCTCAGTCCTCACACCTGTCCATCACCTACAGTGAGACCTGGACACCTGACCTCAGTCCTCACACCTGCCCGTCACCTACAGTGAGACCTGGACACCTGACCTCAGTCCTCACACCTGCCATCACCTACAGTGAGACCTGGACACCTGACCTCAGTCCTCACACCTGCCCGTCCATCACCTACAGTGAGACCTGGACACCTGACCTCAGTCCTCACACCTGCCATCACCTAGTTGAGACCTGGACACCTGACCTCAGTCCTCACACCTGCCCATCACCTAGTGTGACCTGGACACCTGACCTCAGTCCTCACACCGTCCATCACCTACAGTGAGACCTGGACACCTGACCTCAGTCCTCACACCTGTCCATCACCTAGTGTGAGACCTGGACACCTGACCTCAGTCCTCACACCTGTCCCATCACCTAGTGTGAGACCTGGACACCTGACCTCAGTCCTCACACCTCTCATCACCTAGTGTGAGACCTGGACACCTGACCTCAGTCCTCACACCTGCCATCACCTAGTGAGACCTGGACACCTGACCTCACCTCACACCTGTCCATCACCTAGTGTGAGACCTGGACACCTGACCTCAGTCCTCACCCTGTCCATCACCTAGTGTGAGACCTGGACACCTGACCTCAGTCCTCACACCTCTCCATCACCTAGTGAGACCTGGACACCTGACCTCAGTCCTCACACCTGCCCTCACCTACAGTGGACCTGGACACCTGACCTCAGTCCTCACACCTGTCCATCACCTAGTGTGAGACCTGGACACCTGACCTCAGTCCTCACACCTGTCCGTCACCTACATGAGACCTGGACACCTGACCTCAGTCCTCACACCTGTCCATCACCTACAGTGAGACCTGGACACCTGACCTCAGTCCTCACACCTGTCCATCACCTAGTGAGACCTGGACACCTGACCTCAGTCCTCACACCTCCATCACCTAGTGTGAGACCTGGACACCTGACCTCAGTCCTCACACCTGTCCGTCACCTACATGAGACCTGGACACCTGACCTCAGTCCTCACACCTGTCCATCACCTAGTGTGAGACCTGGACACTGACCTCAGTCCTCACACCTGTCCATCACCTACAGTGAGACCTGGACACCTGACCTCAGTCCTCACACCTGTCCTCACCTACAGTGAGACCTGGACACCTGACCTCAGTCCTCACACCTGTCCATCACCTAGTGAGACCTGGACACCTGACCTCAGTCCTCACACCTGTCCATCACCTACATGTAGACCTGGACACCTGACCTCAGTCCTCACACCTGTCCATCACCTACAGTGAGACCTGGACACCTGACCTCAGTCCTCACACCTGTCCATCACCTAGTGTGACCTGGACACCTGACCTCAGTCCTCACACCTGTCCATCACCTAGTGAGACCTGGACACCTGACCTCAGTCCTCACACCTGTCCATCACCTACAGTGAGACCTGGACACCTGACCCTCAGTCCTCACACCTGCCCTCCCCTACAGTGAGACCTGGACAACCTGACCGCAGTCCTCACACCTGTCCATCACCTAGTAGTGAGACCTGGACACCTGACCTCAGTCCTCACACCTGCCCGTCACCTACAGTGAGACCTGGACACCTGACCTCAGTCCTCACACCTGTCCATCACCTAGTGTGAGACCTGGACACCTGACCTCAGTCCTCACAACCTGTCCATCACCTAGTGTGAGCCTGGAACCTGAGCCTCAGTCACACACCTGCCCAGTCACCTAGTGTGAGACCTGGACACCTGACCTCAGTCCTCACACCTCGTCCATCACCTAGTGTGAGACCTGGACACCTGACCTCAGTCCTCACACCTTGCCCGTCACCTACAGTGAGACCTGGACACCTGACCTCAGTCCTCACACCTGTCCATCACCTACAGTGAGACCTGGACACCTGACCTCAGTCCCACACCTGTCCGTCACCTAGTGAGACCTTGACACCTGGACCTCCGTCCTCAACAACCTGTCCATCACCTCCAGTGAGACCTGGGACCCTGACCTCAGTCCTGACCTCAGTCCTCACACCTGTCCATCACCTACAGTGAGACCTGGACACCTGACCTCAGTCCTCACACCTGCCATCACCTATGTGAGACCTGGACACCTGACCTCAGTCCTCACACCTGTCCATCACCTAGTGTGAGACCTGGACACCTGACCTCAGTCCTCACACCTGCCCTCACCTACAGTGAGACCTGGACACCTGACCTCAGTCCTCACACCTGTCCATCACCTAGTGTGAGACCTGGACACCTGACCTCAGTCCTCACACCTGTCCTCACCTAGTGAGACCTGGACACCTGACCTCAGTCCTCACACCTGCCCTCACCTACAGTGAGACCTGGACACCTGACCTCAGTCCTCACACCTGTCCATCACCTACAGTGTAGACCTGGACACCTGACCTCAGTCCTCACACCTGTCCATCACCTAGTGAGACCTGGACACCTGACCTCAGTCCTCACACCTGTCCATCACCTAGTGTGAGACCTGGACACCTGACCTCAGTCCTCACACCTGTCCCTCACCTACAGTGAGACCTGGACCCTGACCTCAGTCCTCACACCTGCCATCACCTACAGACCTGGACACCTGACCTCAGTCCTCACACCTGTCCATCACCTAGTGTGAGACCTGGACACCTGACCTCAGTCCTCACACCTGTCCATCACCTACAGTGAGACCTGGACACCTGACCTCAGTCCTCACACCTGTCCATCACCTAGTGTGAGACCTGGACACCTGACCTCAGTCCTCACACCTGCCATCACCTACAGTGAGACCTGGACACCTGACCTCAGTCCTCACACCTGTCCATCACCTAGTGTGACCTGGACACCTGACCTCAGTCCTCACACCTGCCATCACCTAGTGAGACCTGGACACCTGACCTCAGTCCTCACACCTGTCCATCACCTAGTGTGAGACCTGGACACCTGACCTCAGTCCCACACCTGTCCATCACCTAGTGTGAGACCTGGACACCTGACCTCAGTCCTCACACCTGTCCATCACCTAGTGAGACCTGGACACCTGACCTCAGTCCTCACACCTGTCCATCACCTAGTGTGAGACCTGGACACCTGACCTCAGTCCTCACACCTGTCCATCACCTAGTGTGAGACCTGGACACCTGACCTCAGTCCTCACACCTGCCCTCACCTAGTGAGACCTGGACACCTGACCTCAGTCCTCACACCTGTCCATCACCTAGTGTGAGACCTGGACACCTGACCTCAGTCCTCACACCTGTCCATCACCTAGTGTGAGACCTGGACACCTGACCTCAGTCCTCCACACCTGTCCATCACCTAGTGTGAGACCTGGACACCTGACCTCAGTCCTCACACCTGTCCTCACCTACAGTGAGACCTGGACACCTGACCTCAGTCCTCACACCTGTCCATCACCTAGTGTGAGACCTGGACACCTGACCTCAGTCCTCACACCTGTCCTCACCTACAGTGAGACCTGGACACCTGACCTCAATCCTCACACCTGTCCATCACCTAGTGTGACCTGGACACCTGACCTCAGTCCTCACACCTGTCCATCACCTACATGAGACCTGGACACCTGACCTCAGTCCTCACACCTGTCCATCACCTAGTGTGAGACCTGGACACCTGACCTCAGTCCTCACACCTGTCCATCACCTAGTGAGACCTGGACACCTGACCTCAGTCCTCACACCTGTCCATCACCTAGTGTGAGACCTGGACACCTGACCTCAGTCCTCACACCTGTCCATCACCTAGTGTGAGACCTGGACACCTGACCTCAGTCCTCACACCTGTCCATCACCTAGTGTGAGACCTGGACACCTGACCTCAGTCCTCACACCTGTCCATCACCTAGTGTGACCTGGACACCTGACCTCAGTCCTCACACCTGTCCTCACCTAGTGTGAGACCTGGACACCTGACCTCAGTCCTCACACCTGTCCTCACCTACAGTGAGACCTGGACACCTGACCTCAGTCCTCACACCTGTCCATCACCTAGTGAGACCTGGACACCTGACCTCAGTCCTCACACCTGTCCGTCACCTAGTGAGACCTGGACACCTGACCTCAGTCCTCACACCTGTCCCTCACCTAGTGTGAGACCTGGACACTGACCTCAGTCCTCACACCTGTCCATCACCTAGTGAGACCTGGACACCTGACCTCAGTCCTCACACCTGCCATCACCTAGTGAGACCTGGACACCTGACCTCAGTCCTCACACCTGTCCATCACCTAGTGTGAGACCTGGACACCTGACCTCAGTCCTCACACCTGCCCATCACCTACAGTGAGACCTGGACACCTGACCTCAGTCCTCACACCTGTCCATCACCTACAGTGAGACCTGGACACCTGACCTCAGTCCTCACACCTGTCCATCACCTAGTGTGAGACCTGGACACCTGACCTCAGTCCTCACACCTGTCCATCACCTAGTGTGAGACCTGGACACCTGACCTCAGTCCTCACACCTGTCCATCACCTAGTGAGACCTGGACACCTGACCTCAGTCCTCACACCTGTCCATCACCTAGTGTGAGACCTGGACACCTGACCTCAGTCCTCACACCTGCCCATCACCTAGTGTGAGACCTGGACACCTGACCTCAGTCCGCACACCTGTCCATCACCTAGTGTGAGACCTGGACACCTGACCTCAGTCCTCACACCTGCCATCACCTAGTGAGACCTGGACACCTGACCTCAGTCCTCACACCTGTCCATCACCTAGTGAGACCTGGACACCTGACCTCAGTCCTCACACCTGCCCATCACCTATGTGAGACCTGGACACCTGACCTCAGTCCTCACACCTGTCCATCACCTAGTGTGAGACCTGGACACCTGACCTCAGTCCTCACACCTGCCCGTCACCTACAGTGAGACCTGGACACCTGACCTCAGTCCTCACACCTGTCCATCACCTACAGTGAGACCTGGACACCTGACCTCATCCTCACACCTGCCCGTCACCTACAGTGAGACCTGGACACCTGACCTCCTCACACCTGTCCGTCACCTACAGTGAGACTTGGACACCGACCTCAGTCCCTCACACCTGTCCATCACCTACAGTGAGACCTGGACACCTGACCTCATCCTCACACCTGCCCGTCACCTACAGTGAGACCTGGACACCTGACCTCAGTCCTCACACCTGTCCATCACCTACAGTGAGACCTGGACACCTGACCTCAGTCCTCACACCTGTCCATCACCTACAGTGAGACCTGGACACCTGACCTCAGTCCTCACACCTGCCCATCACCTAGTGTGAGACCTGGACACCTGACCTCAGTCCTCACACCTCTCCATCACCTAGTGTGAGACCTGGACACCTGACCTCAGTCCTCACACCTGTCCGTCACCTACAGTGAGACCTGGACACCTGACCTCAATCCTCACACCTGTCCATCACCTAGTGTGAGACCTGGACACCTGACCTCAATCCTCACACCTGTCCGTCACCTACAGTGAGACCTGGACACCTGACCTCAATCCTCACACCTGTCCATCACCTAGTGTGAGACCTGGACACCTGACCTCAATCCTCACACCTGTCCATCACCTACAGTGAGACCTGGACACCTGACCTCAATCCTCACACCTGTCCATCACCTAGTGTGAGACCTGGACACCTGACCTCAGTCCTCATACCTCTCCATCACCTAGTGTGAGACCTGGACACCTGACCTCAGTCCTCACACCTGTCCATCACCTAGTGTGAGACCTGGACACCTGACCTCAGTCCTCACACCTGTCCATCACCTAGTGTGAGACCTGGACACCTGACCTCAGTCCTCACACCTGTCCATCACCTAGTGTGAGACCTGGACACCTGACCTCAGTCCACACACCTGTCCATCACCTAGTGTGAGACCTGAACACCTGACCTCAGTCCTCACACCTGTCCGTCACCTAGTGTGAGTTCTGGACACCTGACCTCAGTCCTCACACCTGCCCGTCACCTACAGTGAGACCTGGACACCGGACCTCAGTCCTCACACCTGTCCATCACCTACAGTGAGACCTGGACACCTGACCTCAGTCCTCACACCTGTCCGTCACCTACAGTGAGACCTGGACACCTGACCTCAGTCCTCACACCTGTCCATCACCTAGTGTGAGACCTGGACACACTACCTCAGTCCTCACACCTGTGCATCACCTACAGTGAGACCTGGACACCTGACCTCAGTCCTCACACCTGCCCATCACCTAGTGTGAGACCTGAGCACCTGACCTCAGTCCTCACACCTGTCCATCACCTAGTGTGAGACCTGGACACCTGACCTCAGTCCTCACACCTGCCCATCACCTACATTGAGACCTGGACACCTGACCTCAGTCCTCACACCTGTCCGTCACCTACAGTGAGACCTGGACACCTGACCTCAGTCCTCACACCTGTCCATCACCTAGTGTGAGACCTGGACACCTGACCTCAGTCCTCACACCTGTCCATCACCTAGTGTGAGACCTGGACACCTGACCTCAGTCCACACCCTGTCCATCACCTAGTGTGAGATCTGGACACCTGACCTCAGTCCTCACACCTGTCCATCACCTAGGTGAGACCTGGACACCTGACCTCAGGTCCTCACACCTTGTCCATCACCTAGTGTGAGACCTGGACAAACCTGACCTCAGTCCAGCACACCTGTCCATCACCTAGTGTGAGACCTGGACACCTGACCTCAGTCCTCACAACATGCCCGTCACCTACAGTGAGACCTGGACACCTGACCTCAGTCCTCACACCTGTCCGTCACCTACGTGAGACCTGGACACCTGACCTCAGTCCTCACACCTGCCCATCACCTAGTGTGAGACCTGGACACCTGACCTCATTCCTCACACCCTCTTCATCACCTAGTGTAGACCTGGACACCTGACCTCAGTCCTCACACCTGCCCTCACCTACAGTGAGACCTGGACACCTGACCTCAGTCCTCACACCTGTCCATCACCTACAGTGAGACCCTGGACACCGTGACCTCAGTCCTACACACCTCTGCCCGTCACCTACAGTGAGAACCTGGACACCTGACCTCAGTCCTCACACCTGTCCGTCACCTACAGTGAGACTTGGACACCTGACCTCAGTCCTCACACCTGTCCATCACCTACAGTGAGACCTGGACACCTGACCTCAGTCCTCACACCTGCCCGTCACCTACAGTGAGACCTGGACACCTGACCTCAGTCCTCACACCTGCCCATCACCTAGTGTGAGACCTGGACACCTGACCTCAGTCCTCACACCTCTCCATCACCTAGTGTGAGACCTGGACACCTGACCTCAGTCCTCACACCTGCCCGTCACCTACAGTGAGACCTGGACACCTGACCTCAGTCCTCACACCTGCCCGTCCCCTACAGTGAGACCTGGACACCTGACCTCAGTCCTCACACCTGTCCATCACCTAGTGTGAGACCTGGACACCTGACCTCAGTCCTCACACCTCTCCATCACCTAGTGTGAGACCTGGACACCTGACCTCAGTCCTCACACCTGCCCGTCACCTACAGTGAGACCTGGACACCTGACCTCAGTCCTCACACCTGTCCATCACCTAGTGTGAGATCTGGACATCTGACCTCAGTCCACACACCTGTCCATCACCTACAGTGAGACCTGGACACCTGACCTCAGTCCTCACACCTGTCCGTCACCTACAGTGAGACCTGGACACCTGACCTCAGTCCTCACACCTGTCCATCACCTACAGTGAGACCTGGACACCTGACCTCAGTCCTCACACCTGTCCACACCTAGTGTGAGACCTGGACACCTGACCTCAGTCCTCACACCTCTCCATCACCTAGTGTGAGACCTGGACACCTGACCTCAGTCCTCACACCTGTCCGTCACCTAGTGTGAGACCTGGACACCTGACCTCAGTCCTCACACCTGTCCATCACCTAGTGTGAGACCTGGACACCTGACCTCAGTCCTCACACCTGTCCATCACCTACAGTGAGACCTGGACACCTGACCTCAGTCCTCACACCTGTCCATCACCTAGTGTGAGACCTGGACACCTGACCTCAGTCCTCACACCTGTCCATCACCTAGTGTGAGACCTGGACACCTGACCTCAGTCCTCACACCTGTCCATCACCTAGTGTGAGACCTGGACACCTGACCTCAGTCCTCACACCTGTCCATCACCTAGTGTGAGACCTGGACACACTACCTCAGTCCTCACACCTGCCCATCACCTACAGTGAGACCTGGACACCTGACCTCAGTCCTCACACCTGTCCATCACCTAGTGTGAGACCTGGACACCTGACCTCAGTCCACACACCTGTCCATCACCTAGTGTGAGACCTGGACACCTGACCTCAGTCCTCACACCTGTCCATCACCTAGTGTGAGACCTGGACACCTGACCTCAGTCCTCACACCTGCCCATCACCTAGTGTGAGACCTGGACACCTGACCTCAGTCCGCACACCTGTCCATCACCTACAGTGAGACCTGGACACCTGACCTCAGTCCTCACACCTGCCCATCACCTAGTGTGAGACCTGGACACCTGACCTCAGTCCTCACACCTGTCCATCACCTAGTGTGAGACCTGGACACCTGACCTCAGTCCACACACCTGTGCATCACCTAGTGTGAGACCTGGACACCTGACCTCAGTCCTCACACCTGTCCATCACCTAGTGTGAGACCTGGACACCTGACCTCAGTCCTCACACCTGTCCGTCACCTACAGTGAGACCTGGACACCTGACCTCAATCCTCACACCTGTCCATCACCTAGTGTGAGACCTGGGACCACCTGACCTCAATCCTCACACCTGTCCATCACCTACAGTGAGACCTGGACACCTGACCTCAATCCTCACACCTGTCCATCACCTAGTGTGAGACCTGGACACCTGACCTCAGTCCTCATACCTCTCCATCACCTAGTGTGAGACCTGGACACCTGACCTCAGTCCTCACACCTGTCCATCACCTAGTGTGAGACCTGGACACCTGACCTCAGTCCTCACACCTGTCCATCACCTAGTGTGAGACCTGGACACCTGACCTCAGTCCACACACCTGTCCATCACCTAGTGTGAGACCTGAACACCTGACCTCAGTCCTCACACCTGTCCATCACCTAGTGTGAGATCTGGACACCTGACCTCAGTCCCTCCACACCTGCCCGTCACCTACAGTGAGACCTGGACACCGGACCTCAGTCCTCACACCTGTCCATCACCTACAGTGAGACCTGGACACCTGACCTCAGTCCTCACACCTGTCCGTCACCTACAGTGAGACCTGGACACCTGACCTCAGTCCTCACACCTGTCCATCACCTAGTGTGAGACCTGGACACACTACCTCAGTCCTCACACCTGTGCATCACCTACAGTGAGACCTGGACACCTGACCTCAGTCCTCACACCTGTCCATCACCTAGTGTGAGACCTGGACACCTGACCTCAGTCCTCACACCTGTCCATCACCTAGAGTGAGACCTGGACACACTACCTCAGTCCTCACACCTGTCCATCACCTACAGTGAGACCTGGACACCTGACCTCAGTCCTCACACCTGTCCGTCACCTAGTGTGAGACCTGGACACCTGACCTCAGTCCTCACACCTGTCCATCACCTACAGTGAGACCTGGACACCTGACCTCAGTCCTCACACCTGTCCATCACCTAGTGGTGAGACCTGGACACCTGACCTCAGTCCTCACACCTGTCCATCACCTACAGTGAGACCTGGACACCTGACCTCAGTCCTCACACCTGTCCATCACCTAGTGTGAGACCTGGACACCTGACCTCAGTCCTCACACCTGTCCATCACCTACAGTGAGACCTGGACACCTGACCTCAGTCCTCACACCTGTCCATCACCTAGGTGTGAGACCTGGACACCTGACCTCAGTCCGCACACCTGTCCATCACCTACAGTGAGACCTGGACACCTGACCTCAGTCCTCACACCTGTCCATCACCTAGTGTGAGACCTGGACACCTGACCTCAGTCCTCACACCTGACCATCACCTACAGTGAGACCTGGACACCTGACCTCAGTCCTCACACCTGTCCGTCACCTACAGTGAGACCTGGACACCTGACCATCAGTCCATCACACCTGTCCGTCACCTACCGTGAGACCTGGACAACATGACCTCAGTCCTCACACCATGCCACATCCAACCTAGTGTGAGACCTGCGACACCTGACCTCAGTCCTCACACCTGTCCATCACCTAAGTGTGAGACCTGGACACCTGACCCTCCAGTTCCCACCACCTGTGCCATCACCTAGTGTGAGACCTGGACACCTGACTCAGTCCTCACACCGCCCATCACCTAGTGTCGAGACCTGGGACACCTGACCTCAGTCCTCACACCTGTCCATCCCTAGTGTGAGACCTGGACACCTGACTCAGTCCCTACCACACCTGCCCATCACCTACAGTGAGACCTGGACACCTGACCCTCAGTCCTCACACCTGTCCGTCACCTACAGTGAGACCTGGACACCTGACCTCAGTCCCACACAACCTGTCCATCACCTAGTGTGAGACCTGGCCACCTGACTCAGTCCTCACACCTGTCCATCACCTAGTGTGAGGACCTGGACACCTGACCTCAGTCCTCACACCTGTCCATCACCTAGTGTGAGACCTGGACACCTGACCTCAGTCCTCACACCTGTCCATCACCTACAGTGAGACCTGGACACCTGACCTCAGTCCTCACACCTGCCCATCACCTAGTGTGAGACCTGGACACCTGACCTCAGTCCTCACACCTGCCCATCACCTACAGTGAGACCTGGACACCTGACCTCAGTCCTCACACGTGCCCATCACCTACAGTGAGACCTGAACACCTGACCTCAGTCCTCACACCTGTCCATCACCTACAGTGAGACCTGAACACCTGACCTCAGTCCTCACACCTGTCCATCACCTAGTGAGACCTGGACACCTGACCTCAGTCCACACACCTGCCCGTCACCTACAGTGAGACCTGGACACCTGACCTCAGTCCTCACACCTGTCCATCACCTAGTGAGACCTGGACACCTGACCTCAGTCCTCACCTGTCCATCACCTAGTGTGAGACCTGGACACCTGACCTCAGTCCTCACACCTGTCCATCACCTAGAGTGAGACCTGGACACCTGACCTCAGTCCTCACACCTGTCCATCACCTAGTGTGAGACCTGGACACCTGACCTCAGTCCTCTCACTGTCCCATCACCTAGAGTGAGACCTGGACACCTGACCTCAGTCCTCACACCTGTCCATCACCTAGTGTGAGACCTGGACACCTGACCTCAGTCCTCACACCTGTCCATCACCTAGAGTGAGACCTGAACACCTGACCTCAGTCCTCACACCTGCCCGTCACCTACAGTGAGACCTGGACACCTGACCTCAGTCCTCACACCTGTCCATCACCTACAGTGAGACTGGACACCTGACCTCAGTCCTCACACCTGCCCAGTCACCTAGAGTGAGACCTGGACACCTGACCTCAGTCCTCACACCTGTCCATCACCTAGTGTGAGACCTGGACACCTGACCTCAGTCCGCACACCTGTCCATCACCTACAGTGAGACCTGGACACCTGACCTCAGTCCTCACACCTGTCCATCACCTAGTGTGAGACCTGGACACCTGACCTCAGTCCTCACACCTGACCATCACCTACAGTGAGACCTGGACACCTGACCTCAGTCCTCACACCTGCCCGTCACCTACAGTGAGACCTGGACACCTGACCTCAGTCCTCACAACCTGTCCATCACCTACAGTGAGACCTGGACACCTGACCTCAGTCCTCACACCTGTCCATCACCTAGTGTGAGACCTGGACATCTGACCTCAGTCCACACACCTGTCCATCACCTACAGTGAGACCTGGACACCTGACCTCAGTCCTCACACCTGTCCATCACCTACAGTGAGACCTGGACACCTGACCTCAGTCCTCACACCTGCCCATCACCTAGTGTGAGACCTGGACACCTGACCTCAGTCCTCACACCTGTCCATCACCTAGTGTGAGACCTGGACACCTGACCTCAGTCCTCACACCTGCCCATCACCTACAGTGAGACCTGGACACCTGACCTCAGTCCTCACACCTGTCCGTCACCTACAGTGAGACCTGGACACCTGACCTCAGTCCTCACACCTGTCCATCACCTAGTGTGAGACCTGGACACCTGACCTCAGTCCTCACACCTGTCCATCACCTAGTGTGAGACCTGGACACCTGACCTCAGTCCACACACCTGTCCATCACCTAGTGTGAGACCTGGACACCTGACCTCAGTCCTCACACCTGTCCATCACCTAGTGGAGACCTGGACACCTGACCTCAGTCCTCACACCTGCCCATCACCTAGTGTGAGACCTGGACACCTGACCTCAGTCCGCACACCTGTCCATCACCTACAGTGAGACCTGGACACCTGACCTCAGTCCTCACACCTGCCCGTCACCTACAGTGAGACCTGGACACCTGACCTCAGTCCTCACACCTGTCCATCACCTACAGTGAGACCTGGACACCTGACCTCAGTCCTCACACCTGTCCATCACCTAGTGTGAGACCTGGACATCTGACCTCAGTCCACACACCTGCCCGTCACCTACAGTGAGACCTGGACACCTGACCTCAGTCCTCACACCTGTCCATCACCTACAGTGAGACCTGGACACCTGACCTCAGTCCTCACACCTGTCCATCACCTAGTGTGAGACCTGGACACCTGACCTCAGTCCTCACACCTGTCCATCACCTAGAGTGAGACCTGGACACCTGACCTCAGTCCTCACACCTGTCCATCACCTAGTGTGAGACCTGGACACCTGACCTCAGTCCTCTCACCTGTCCATCACCTAGAGTGAGACCTGGACACCTGACCTCAGTCCTCACACCTGTCCATCACCTAGTGTGAGACCTGGACACCTGACCTCAGTCCTCACACCTGTCCATCACCTAGAGTGAGACCTGGACACCTGACCTCAGTCCTCACACCTGTCCATCACCTAGTGTGAGACCTGGACACCTGACCTCAGTCCTCACACCTGTCCATCACCTAGAGTGAGACCTGAACACCTGACCTCAGTCCTCACACCTGTCCATCACCTAGTGTGAGACCTGGACACCTGACCTCAGTCCACACACCTGTCCATCACCTACAGTGAGACCTGGACACCTGACCTCAGTCCTCACACCTGTCCATCACCTACAGTGAGACCTGGACACCTGACCTCAGTCCTCTCACCTGTCCATTACCTACAGTGAGACCTGGACACCTGACCTCAGTCCTCACACCTGTCCATCACCTAGTGTGAGACCTGGACACCTGACCTCAGTCCTCACACCTGCCCGTCACCTACAGTGAGACCTGGACACCTGACCTCAGTCCTCACACCTGTCCATCACCTACAGTGAGACCTGAACACCTGACCTCAGTCCTCACACCTGTCCATCACCTACAGTGACCTGGACACCTGACCTCAGTCCTCACACCTGTCCATCACCTAGTGTGAGACCTGGACACCTGACCTCAGTCCACACACCTGCCCATCACCTAGTGTGAGATCTGGACACCTGACCTCAGTCCTCACACCTGTCCATCACCTACAGTGAGACCTGGACACCTGACCTCAGTCCACACACCTGCCCATCACCTAGTGTGAGACCTGGACACCTGACCTCAGTCCTCACACGTGCCCATCACCTAGTGTGAGACCTGAACACCTGACCTCAGTCCTCACACCTGTCCATCACCTAGTGTGAGACCTGGACACCTGACCTCAGTCCTCACACCTGCCCGTCACCTACAGTGAGACCTGGACACCTGACCTCAGTCCTCACACCTGTCCATCACCTAGTGTGAGACCTGGACACCTGACCTCAGTCCACACACCTGTCCATCACCTACAGTGAGACCTGGACACCTGACCTCAGTCCTCACACCTGCCCATCACCTAGTGTGAGACCTGGACACCTGACCTCAGTCCTCACACCTGTCCATCACCTACAGTGAGACCTGGACACCTGACCTCAGTCCTCACACCTGTCCATCACCTAGTGTGAGACCTGGACACCTGACCTCAGTCCTCACACCTGCCCATCACCTAGTGTGAGACCTGGACACCTGACCTCAGTCCATCACACCTGCCCATCACCTAGTGTGAGACCTGGGCATCTCCATTTGCAGCCTTAATATTTTTTGAACTGCTCTTCCCAGGAGAAACTACCTAATTTTTTCTGAACCAATAATAATATTGTGCCTTTATTAGCACTTGAGACTGAGACGCCTACGCCCTCCCATCCACGTGCCCATTCACACCAAAGCAACCCCACGCTCCACTGGGTAGCCAGGAGACACAGCCCGGGAACCGAGGCACCTGGCCACGCCCTCCTCCAGTCCACAGGACACGCACCTGTCTTCCCAACAAGCAAGGCGTCTGCGTTCTCTTCCCTGCTTGAATCGTGCTTGGGGGAAAGCTGAAGCTGCTGGTCTCCAGTTTCGAACACCCACTCCCGACTCGGAACAGGAAGCGTGCTCTAACTCAGCCTCCTGAGCCACCGGACTGGAGACTGCGGCGGCCGCCACGCGGCTGCGGCCGCGTCACCCGGTCACCGACGGCTCCTTCCGCGGGCTCCAGGCTAGCAGGAGCCTTCACGGAAGAGCCCCTCCCCTTACACGCACGAAGCACAATTCCCACACGTTAGCCGCGTTTCTGAAGCCGCGATTCTGCGGGCTAGCCACAGTGCGAGTTGTCGTTCGGAACACAGATGCCGGGCTCCATGCGGCGTGTGGGGACGCACCTGTGCTCCGTGAGGACGCTCACTGCCGACGGGTGATTGGCACAATAGGCGAGGTACAAGGTCTTCATCTGGGGCATCAGGGTGAGGAAGCAGCCTCCAACTCTCTGCTGAGCCTCAGGCAACCTGGAGACACAGGACACAGGCAACGGGAATGGCGTCAGCATCAGACCCAAGGAACGCTGCTCTGTGAGCACAGGCGCACACCTGCTCCCCTGGGAAGCTGGCAGGAGCAGGGGCTCCTGGCAAGCAGCCCTGGCATCCATCCTCCCGTGAGCACCAGCGATGCCCGAAGTTCCAGCCCACCTGCGAGGAGCGGAGACTCCAGGCGCCCCCAAGCCTGAGGACGGGCAGGGTGAGGGGAAGGGCAGTCGGAGCTTGCTTTCAGAAGGGCCAGGCCGCTGGGCTTCTCCCATGACTGACATCACCAGCAGCCCACAGGAGAGGCCTGCGGCCCAGAGGAAGGCACGAGGGCTCAGAGCCGCAGCCACGCTTCACAGACAGGAAAGCAGGTGCACCGGGCAGAGGGACATACAGCTGCCACCCGGCAAGTCCCAAACCTGTGCTCCAAGGCCTCCTCCCGGGGGCACAGCAGGGGAGCCTCCAGGGTCACATGCACACGTGCGCGCGCATGCGCACACACACACACACGAGCCTCTCGAAGCTGTGCTCCAAGGCCTGCCAGGCCTCTTCGCAGGGGCAGGGGAGCCCCAGCTCAGCCCGACCCCAGACCGCACAGCATTGGCCCCAGGGTGTCTCTCTCTCTCTCCCTCTCTCCCTCTCTCTCTCAGACACACACACACACACAGAGCTTCTCGAAGCTGTGCTCCAAGGCCTGCCAGGCCTCTTCCCAGGGGCAGGGGAGCCCCAGCTCAGCCCGACCCCAGACCGCACAGCACTGGCCCCAGGGTCACACACGAGCGCCCTGAAGCCAGACTCGGCTGCTCACCTCAGCCCCGCTCCTAATCTGGCCTCATCTGCTCAGTCCACCTGAGTCCCAAACCACAATTTCCTGTGTCCCCAGAATAAAAGCCAGAGGTCATAAACCACAGCTTTGACAGCTTCACAGGCCGAGTTCAAACAGGGACAGGGAGCTGGCAGCGACTGAGGTGGCGCTCAGACACCCGCACCCCATCAGAGGGCCTGGCGCAGTCCTGGCTCCACCCCGGATCGCAGATTCCGGCGACATGCACCTGAGAAGCAGCGGGTGGTGGCTCAAGTCCTCGGGTCCCTGTCACCCACGTGGGACACCTCAACCGAGTGCCCAGGGCTCTGCTCCTGGCTCTGGTCAGGCCCAGCCCTGGCTGCTGTGGGCGTTTGGGGAGTGACCAGTGGAAAGAGGACACCTCTTTCTCTTCCTCCCTCCCTCCTTCTCTCTCAACCCTGCAAACAATAATTGCTTTATTTATTTTTCTCAAAACCACTGAAAGCAACAAACACGCTAAGAAACGAGGTCTCCAGAAAACGGTCCCCATGTTTCCTGGGAACCTGCAGCCTGTTAGAATCACGATATCACGGCTGAGACGTCCCCAACTCCATACACGCATCGGACGCCCTGCAATGCTCGGCCCCCGCACCTGCACAGCAAGGTGTCCCACGGACACACACAAAGCAAGGGCGCCCTCAAACACTTGAATCCCAACTGGGTCCCAACCTCCAGGGGTGCATGGGGGAGGGAGTGCTAGAACACGAGGAGAAAGAGCCCCGAGCCCGGAACATGTCACAGGGAGTGGAGGAGTGGGTCTGGCAGACACGTGACAGTGTGGAAGCCGGATTCGGGCTGTGAGAGAGACGTAAGCCTGGCACTGCCACTGCCTGAGGCCCTCACGTCGGCAGCTGGCCCTCAGCAGCAGCCAGATGTGTGCATCATCACTCATTAGGAGAGCACGGAGCCAGCACAGAATAAACTGGAACGGGGGAGGGTGGGTGTCTGGCGTAATGGATATGATGCCATTGGGACACCCTGGAGTGCCCGGGTTCGAGGCCTGGCTCGGCTCCCAGCTCCGGCTTTCTGCTAACGCACACCCTAGGAAGCAGTGGCAATGGCTCCGCCTGCCTCCCACGTGGAAGACCCGGATGGAGCTCCCGGCTTCTAGCGTGGCCCAGCACTTGCAGCCTGAACCAGCAGGTGGGAGCTCTGTTGAGAGCTCTGATTGTATTTCAAATAAAAAAATAAATTAAAAATTCTCAAATAAATGGGAAACGAAACTTGATACAATAACGAGACCATCCCCAAAGAGCCTGTGAAGTTCTACTTTCAATAGATGTGACGAAACGTGAGCGATCAGCTGACAGGTGGGTTTTATTTGGAAAGTGTTCTGGAGACACTGCTAGATTCCCAGGGTTCCATTTTTCCACAGAAGCAACTTTACAAGCCACAGTTCCACCTTCCCAGACCGAACCCAAGAAATCCTCTAAATCACACCTAATGGCGTCTACGGTGCATCAGGTATTGCAAGGAATTCCCCACCACTTAGAATGCTGTGTTAAGGGAAAACCTCACCTTGACCCCCACTGTGACAGGATCCCCCCACAAGCCTCCCCATCACTCCTTAGGGAGGGTCCTGCTCCCAGCACGCGCAGGCAGCCTCCACGCCAAGGCTGAGCCCAGCCCCAGGAGGAGCCCTGCGGCCAGTGGTTCCCCCAGCACGCGCAGGCAGCCTCCACGCCAAGGCTGAGCCCGGCCCCAGGAGGAGCCCCGCGGCCAGTGGTGCTCCCAGCACGCGCAGGCAGCCTCCACGCCAAGGCTGAGCCCGGCCCCAGGAGGAGCCCCGCGGCCAGTGGTGCTCCCAGCACGCGCAGGCAGCCTCCACGCCAAGGCTGAGCCCGGCCCCAGGAGGAGCCCCGCGGCCAGTGGTGCTCCCAGCACGCGCAGGCAGCCTCCACGCCAAGGCTGAGCCCGGCCCCAGGAGGAGCCCCGCGGCCAGTGGTGCTCCCAGCACGCGCAGGCAGCCTCCACGCCAAGGCTGAGCCCGGCCCCAGGAGGAGCCCCGCGGCCAGTGGTTCTCACGGAGGCACTCAAGAGTGGACGGCTGAGTTAGGGGTGGGGTGAAGCAGCAGCCAGGTCCCAGGCTGAACCCACCGTGCATCGGAGGCTCAGAAAGGAGGCAGAATTCTCAGACTCCATGAGTCCTTCGTGCCAGAGAGCCTCCAGCCACAGACTGATCTCACAGGCACCAGCTGTGTGGTCCTGGGGGAAGTCACACCGCGGCCGGCTCCGCCCTCGGGCTAAATGGGTCAGTGCACCTCACACAGAGGACCCGGGACCAGCAGGCTGTGTGGACGGCAGTGCACCTCACACAGAGGACCCGGGACCGGCAGGCTGTGTGGACGGCAGTGCACCTCACACAGAGGACCCGGGGACCGGCAGGCTGTGTGGACGGCAGTGCACCTCACACAGAGGACCCGGGACCGGCAGGCTGTGTGGACGGCAGTGCACCTCACACAGAGGACCCGGGACCGGCAGGCTGTGTGGACAGGAGTGCACCTCACACAGAGGACCCGGGACCGGCAGGCTGTGTGGACTGGCAAGTGCACCTCACACAGAGGACCCGGGGACCGGCAGGCTGTGTGGACGGCAGTGCACCTCACACAGAGGACCCGGGACCGGCAGGCTGTGTGGACGGCAGTGCACCTCACACAGAGGACCCGGGACCGGCAGGCTGTGTGGACGGCAGTGCACCTCACACAGAGGACCCGGGACCGGCAGGCTGTGTGGACAGGAGTGCACCTCACACAGAGGACCCGGGACCGGCAGGCTGTGTGGACGGCAGTGCACCTCACACAGAGGACCCGGGACCGGCAGGCTGTGTGGACGGCAGTGCACCTCACACAGAGGACCCGGGACCGGCAGGCTGTGTGGACGGCAGTGCACCTCACACAGAGGACCCGGGACCGGCAGGCTGTGTGGACAGGAGTGCACCTCACACAGAGGACCCGGGACCAGCAGGCTGTGTGGACGGCAGTGCACCTCACACAGAGGACCCGGGACCTGCAGGCTGTGTGGACAGCAGTGCACCTGATACAGGTGTTCACAGACTGTCAACACAAATTAAGCTTTTATAAAATCTTGGACACGATACAGCTTCTAGTACAAAACTGACTTCCCCAAAAGGTTTAAAGCAGTCTTGCATCTTTGGAAATGTGAGTTCTCAAATCCTGTAAAACTGGATCCTGGAAGTGACGACCCACCCACCTGACCTTCGCGCGCTTAGCGTCTCACTTACTTGGTGCACTCCTCTAGGGACTGCACGAGCGTCTGCTGGAAGGAGCAGATCTCCTCCAGGTTCCCCAGCAGGTGTGCAGTGTGGGCCGAACTCAACCTGGACCAGGAAGAAGGCAGTGAGTGAGAGCAGTGAACACGCCGCCCGCACGCCCGCACGCGCTCCTGCCCGCCCAGCGCCCCGAGGCCTCACTGAATGAACGCTCGTGCCGCAGGCAGCCTGGCGCTGCGATTTGTCTCATTGTTTCCACCACCACCCCTGCAAGTAACAGTCTGAAGGGAGACTACGTTACGGTTAATGCAGCTCATCTTCTGACTTACTTCTCGCTGGTCTGTAACGGCCGCAGGTAGGTGGAGAGCATAGTCTGCAGTTCTTTAGAATACTCGTTTTCTGTTTCTAAAATGTTCTGTAGCACCTACGACAGATGATGGATCAGAGTTACCTGGCGTCCCGAGCGCGGCTACCGGGATCTACACGCTGCGGCAGGAGCGTCGGCACTGTTCCTGTCCACGGCGGCTTCCGTGGAATCTCGGTATTTACGGATGCCCACTCCTGCGGTACTGCCCGAGCTGCGGAAGATATCAGGCCACACACATCTGACCCCAGGCTACCCACGGGGAGCTACAGTGAATTCCGTCATCACACACGCAATGCCAAGGCCACCCAGAGAACGGAGGAGCCACCGGCAGCCTCGGGCAGAGCTGCACGGCTGAATCGCCACAGCACTCTGCTGTTCAAAAGGAAGCACCCACAGCGCCCCCTGTGGGACCCCACTCACACTACGTCCCAGCCAGCACCGCTCACACTACGTCCCAGCCAGCACCGCACTCAGAGCAGAGGGCGATGGGGGGGTTCTGACTGGGGCAGAGGGCGATGGGGGAGGGTTCTGACTGGGGCAGAGGGCGATGGGGGGGTTCTGACAGGGGCAGAGGGCGATGGGGGGGTTCTGACTGGGGCAGAGGGCGATGGGGGGGGTTCTGACTGGGGCAGAGGGCGATGGGGGGGTTCTGACTGGGGCAGAGGGCGATGGGGGGGTTCTGACTAAGGCAGAGAGTGATGTGGGGGGTTCTGACTGGGGCAGAGAGCGATGCGGGGGGGTTCTGACGGGCACAGGGTGATGGGGGGGTTCTGACTGGGGCAGAGGGTGATGCGGGGGGGTTCTGACTGGGGCAGAGGGCGATGTGGGGGGGTTCTGACTGGGTCAGAGGGCGATGTGGGGGGTTCTGACTGGGGCAGAGGGTGATGCGGGGGGGTTCTGACTGGGGCAGAGGGTGATACGGGGGGTTCTGACTGGGGCAGAGGGCGATGTGGGGGGTTCTGACTGGGGCAGAGGGTGATGCGGGGGGGTTCTGACTGGGGCAGAGGGTGATGCGGGGGGGTTCTGACTGGGGCAGAGGGTGATACGGGGGGTTCTGACTGGGTCAGAGGGCGATGTGGGGGGTTCTGACTGGGGCAGAGGGTGATGCGGGGGGGTTCTGACTGGGGCAGAGGGTGATACAGGGGGTTCTGACTGGGGCAGAGGGCGATGTGGGGGGTTCTGACGGGCAGAGGGTGATGCGGGGGGGGGGTTCTGACTGGGGCAGAGGGTGATACGGGGGGTTCTGACTGGGGCAGAAGGCGATGTGGGGGGTTCTGACGGGCAGAGGGTGATGCGGGGGGGGTTCTGACTGGGGCAGAGGGTGATGCGGGTGGTTCTGACTGGGGCAGAAGGCGATGTGGGGGGTTCTGACGGGCAGAGGGTGATGCGGGGGGGTTCTGACTGGGGCAGAGGGTGATGCGGGGGGGTTCTGACTGGGGCAGAGGGGGGTGGGGGGGTTCTGACTGGGGCAGAGGGTGATGTGGGGGGTTCTGACTGGGGCAGAGGGCGATGTGGGGGGTTCTGACTGGGGCAGAAGGCGATGTGGGGGGTTCTGACGGGCAGAGGGTGATGCGGGGGGGTTCTGACTGGGGCAGAGGGTGATGCGGGGGGGTTCTGACTGGGGCAGAGGGTGATGCGGGGGGGGTCTGACTGGGGCAGAGGGGGGTGGGGGGGTTCTGACTGGGGCAGAGAGCGATGCGGGGGGTTCTGACTGGGGCAGAGGGTGATGTGGGGGGTTCTGACTGGGGCAGAGGGTGATGTGGGGGGTTCTGACTGGGGCAGAGGGCGATGGGGGGGGGTTCTGACTGGGGCAGCGTCCACAGACATGCACTCCTCAGGACCCAAGCTGGAACTTTCTATGTATTCGGCTGATATGTGTAAAATATGCCTGAATAAAAAGTCAGAGTTTATTACTTAGCTTGCCTCTAAAAAGCTGAAATCCATTTGTGACTCTCATTAGAGAATATGATAGTGTCAACTTATTCTTCAACGTTAAAGATCCATTACTTTACATACACAGCAGATTACATATTAACTTTAAAGTAAACACCCTAGGTCAGTGCATCATATCACCCAAAATTAATTTACTATTAAAAACCGAGGGACAAACACAGAGTGCAAAGCAGCTGCACTAACACAGGGACACCTTCTGCAGCAGCTGCCGAAGGCCGAGGCCCCAGGCAGGGTGAGAAGGCCGGCGTCCGGGGCAAGCACACTGCTGGGATAATTCTGCTAAATGCAGCTCTCAAACCTGCACTTGCCACGCTCCCTTCCCCACCCCCCAATGCCACAAGGCACCTGCAAGTGGCGCCTCAGATCCCTGGAAGATGCCTCCTTTCAGACAGGTTAACTTGTCCCGAGTCAGAGTCAGTGCACTGCAGGGCTGGACGTGGCCCTGGGGTTAACTTGTCCTGAGTCAGAGAGTAGGTGCACTGCAGAGCTGGACGTGACCCTGGGGTTAACCTGTCCTGAGTCAGAGTCAGTGCACTGCAGAGTTGGACGTGGCCCTGGGGTTAACTTGTCCTGAGTCAGAGAGTAGGTGCACAGCAGGGCTGGATGTGGCCCTGGGGTTAACCTGTCCTGATTCAGAGTCAGTGCACTGCAGAGCTGGACGTGGCCCTGGGGTTAACTTGTCCTGAGTCAGAGAGTAGGTGTACTGCAGAGCTGGACGTGGGCCTGGGGTTAACCTGTCCTGAGTCAGAGTAGGTGCACAGCAGGGCTGGACGTGGCCCTGGGGTTAACCTGTCCTGAGTCAGAGAATAGGTGTACTGCAGAGCTGGACATGGCCCTGGGGTTAACTTGTCCTGAGTCAGAGTCAGTGCACTGCAGAGCTGGATGTGACCCTGGGGTTAACCTGTCCTGAGTCAGAGAGTAGGTGCACAGCAAGGCTGGACGTGGCCCTGGGGTTAACCTGTCCTGAGTCAGAGAATAGGTGTACTGCAGAGCTGGATGTGGCCCTGGGGTTAACTTGTCCTGAGTCAGAGTCAGTGCACTGCAGAGCTGGATGTGACCCTGGGGTTAACCTGTCCTGAGTCAGAGAGTAGGTGCACAGCAGGGCTGGACGTGGCCCTGGGGTTAACCTGTCCTGAGTCAGAGAGTAGGTGCACTGCAGAGCTGGACGTGGCCCTGGGGTTAACTTGTCCTGAGTCAGAGTCAGTGCACTGCAGAGCTGGACGTGAACCTGGGGTTAACCTGTCCTGAGTCAGAGTAGGTGCACTGCAGAGCTGGATGCGACCCTCGGGTTAACTTGTCCTGAATCAGAGAATTGGTGCAGATCTGGACAGGGCCTTAGGGTTAACTTGCCCTGAGTCAGAGTTGGTGCACAGCACAGCTAGATGTGGCCCTGGGGTTAACTTGTCCTGCATGGGAGACTGGGAGGAAGCTCCTGGCTCTTGACTTCAGATCAGCCCAGCTCTGGCTATTGTGGTCATTTGGGGAGTGAACTAGTAGATGCAAGACGTTTCTCTCTCTCTCCCTCCGTCTGTCTGTAACTCTACCTCTCAAGTAAATAAATAAATCTTTACTTAAAAAAAGGGGGGGGGGAGCAGCCTTTAAAAAAAAAACACGGGGAGCACAGCAGGACGTGGCCCTGGGTTTAGGGTAACTTGTCAGAGTCAGTGCACTGCAGAGCTGGACATGGCCCTGGGGTTAACCTGTCCCGAGTCAGAGTCAGTGCACTGCAGAGCTGGACATGGCCCTGGGGTTAACCTGTCCTGAGTCAGAGAGTAGGTGCACTGCAGAGCTGGACGTGACCCTGGGGTTAACCTGTCCTGAGTCAGAGAGTAGGTGCACTGCAGAGCTGGACATGGCCCTGGGGTTAACTTGTCCTGAGTCAGAGAGTAGGTGCACAGCAGGGCTGGACGTGAACCTGGGGTTAACCTGTCCTGAGTCAGAGTCAGTGCACTGCAGAGCTGGACGTGGCCCTGGGGTTAACTTGTCCTGAGTCAGAGAGTAGGTGTACTGCAGAGCTGGACGTGGCCCTGGGGTTAACCTGTCCTGAGTCAGAGTCAGTGCACTGCAGAGCTGGACGTGGCCCTGGGGTTAACTTGTCCTGAGTCAGAGAGTAGGTGTACTGCAGAGCTGGACGTGGCCCTGGGGTTAACCTGTCCTGATTCAGAGTCAGTGCACTGCAGAGCTGGACGTGGCCCTGGGGTTAACTTGTCCTGAGTCAGAGAGTAGGTGCACTGCAGAGCTGGACGTGACCCTGGGGTTAACCTGTCCTGAGTCAGAGTCAGTGCACAGCAGGGCTGGACGTGGCCCTGGGGTTAACTTGTCCTGAGTCAGAGAGTAGGTGCACTGCAGAGCCAGACATGGCCCTGGGGTTAACTTGTCCTGAGTCAGGGTTGGTGCAGAGCAGAGCTGGACATGGCCCTGGGGTTAACTTGTCCTGAGTTAGGGTTGGTGCACAGCAGGGCTGGACGTGGCCCTGGGGTTAACCTGTCCTGAGTCAGAGTCAGTGCACAGCAGGGCTGGACGTGAACCTGGGGTTAACTTGTTCTGAGTTAGGGTCGGTGCAGAGCAGAGCTGGACGTGAACCTGGGGTTAACTTGTCCAGAGTCAGAGTTGGTGCACTGTAGAGCTGGACGTGGCCCTGGGGTTAACTTGTCCTGAGTCAGGGTCGGTGCACGGAAAAGCAGGACATGGCCCTGGGGTTAACTTGTCCTGAGTCAGGGTTGGTGCAGAGCAGAGCTGGACATGGCCCTGGGGTTAACTTGTCCTGAGTTAGGGTTGGTGCACAGCAGAGCTGGACATGGCCCTGGGGTTAACTTGTCCTGAGTCAGGGTCAGTGCAGAGCAGAGCTGGACGTGAACCTGGGGTTAACCTGTCCTGAGTCAGAGTCAGTGCACAGCAGGGCTGGACGTGAACCTGGGGTTAACTTGTTCTGAGTTAGGGTCGGTGCAGAGCAGAGCTGGACGTGAACCTGGGGTTAACTTGTCCAGAGTCAGAGTTGGTGCACTGTAGAGCTGGACGTGGCCCTGGGGTTAACTTGTCCTGAGTCAGGGTCGGTGCACGGAAAAGCAGGACATGGCCCTGGGGTTAACTTGTCCTGAGTCAGGGTTGGTGCAGAGCAGAGCAGGACATGGCCCTGGGGTTAACTTGTCCTGAGTTAGGGTTGGTGCACAGCAGAGCTGGACATGGCCCTGGGGTTAACTTGTCCTGAGTCAGGGTCAGTGCAGAGCAGAGCTGGACGTGAACCTGGGGTTAACTTGTCCTGAGTCAGAGAGTTGGTGCACTGCAAAAGTGAACATGGCCCTATGGTTAACTTCTTCTGAGTCAGAGTTGGTGCACTGCAGTGTTGGACGTGGCCCCGGGGTTAACTTGTCCTGATTCAGAGTCAGTGCACAGCAGGGCTGGACATGGCCCTGGGGTTAACTTGTCCTGAGTCAGAGTTGGTGCACAGCAGGGCTGGACGTGGCCCTGGGGTTAACTTGTTCTGAGTCAGGGTCGGTGCAGAGCAGGGCTGGACGTGGCCCTGGGGTTAACTTGTCCTGAGTCAGGGTTGGTGCACGGCAGAGCAGGACATGGCCCTGGGGATAGGGTAACGTGACCTTAGTCAGTCAGTGGGTGGCAGAGCAGGACGTGGCCCTGGGGTCAGGTTAACGTGTCCTGAGTCAGGGTCAGTGCGCAGCAGGGCTGGAAGTGGGATGCTGGCACTGCAGGCAGCTGCTTACCCTAGCACGCCACAGCGCTGGCCCCTCCCCGTGAGCTTTGCTAACTCCAATGCTGACGTGTCCCTGCAGAAGGTGGTGGTCAGACACAAACTCTGGCTTTCACGCGCACTGCCTGTGACCACTGTTCCTCACTGCGTCCTGCATGCTCCAGACACAGCACGGTCACTCAGGCAGAAGAGCGAGCCTGTTTAACGTAAAGACCAGACTCTCACTGGTCAGGAGCGGTTCCCCCCTGGGTGGGCGGCCAGCGGGAGGGGCAGCCACACGGGGAGCTGACTGCTCCAGGGGGAGAGTGGGTGCTGGGGCCACACTGTAGCACCTGCCTTCTAAAACACAGGCCTACGGGGAGACAGCTGTTGTGACCCAGCCCCTGGGTCTCCAGGTGCCAGCCCCAACACTGATGACAGACAGGAGCAAGCTAGGGACAAGGCAGCCCTGAACTCAACAACAAAAATCTATGTGTCACAGATGCGCTGGCAACGTCTTTTCCCACAGGCAGGAAACGGCCGCTCCTCCGTCCCACCACCGGGCACCTCCCCGGCAGCACTGCTCAGCACAGGCCTCAACCTGCACCGTTTCTGCAGGGGGCAGGAGAGGACCGGGGCAGCTCGTGCAGAAACAGGACCCTGGTCGCCTGCGCTCGGGACGAGCACACGGGAGCCCCGACGAGAAAGCCGCGTGCACGCCAGCAGGTGGGCGGGTGCAGTCCCACTGCGTGTCTTAAAGGCTATTATCAAACAAGTGCCGAAGACAGATTTTCTCACATTCCTAACCAAGGAAGGCAAGTTCCCTGAGTGTCTGCACAAACACACGGGCAAGAATCGGCTCACAGGCCCATGCTGCTGCCACGTCCCTTCCGCGCGGAGGCCGCCCGTCCGTCCGTGGGAGCCCGACGTCACCCTTCTTCCCTGCCTCGCCCTCCCCACGCTCTCGCTGCTTGCAGCACCCCAAGGCAGGCCTGCCCTGCACCATCATGGGGGCGCCAGGGACCACGAGCCGGCACACGGTTTCCAGAGTGCCCAGAGCTGAAGCCTGGCCCGCAGGGCTGAGCCTCCCTGAGCCACCAGGACAGGTGAACCCGGCCCAGCCAGGCGTGAAGCCTCAGACGAGGGCGAGGAGCTGGGCCTGGCGCAGACACACTGGCACAGATCCTGCAAGTGGCCGATGACGGTCTGCTTCCACACGCAGAGGTCGCACCGGTCACGGCGCTCACTGCAGACCGCGGAGGCCATCGCGTGGCCGAGTGGACAGTCTGCTTCCACACGCAGGGGTCTCACCGGTCACGGCGCTTACTGCAGACCGCGGAGGCCACCTTACCGGCCCCTCGCTAGTCCAACCTTCCCCACCAGCCCAGCGATCCCACCTGGGGCATCTCGCTGCAGACCCTCTGTAGCCAGGAGGAAGCCGCTTCGCAGTTCAGTGAGTGGCTCCTGCCCTGGTCAGACCTGCCAGACCTGAAAACCTCCACGTGACCTGTCCACACCAGACAAGGAAATGACCCCCACACAGCAGTAGCCACAGCACCTCACGCTCACTGCCCATGTAACACATGGCAGGGACGCAGGAGCAGCGGCCTCTCGGGCAGGCCACAGTGTGCCGGGTGCCACTTCCTGTGCCGGCTACTCCACTGCCAACCCAGCCCATGTAACACACGGCAGGGACGCAGGAGCAGCGGCCTCTCGGGCAGCCCACAGTGTGCCGGGCGCCACTTCCTGTGCCGGCTACTCCACTGCCAACCCAGCCTTCTACTGATGCGTCTGAGAAGGCCCTGAGTGACAGCCCAGGTACTGGGGTCCCTGGCCCTCGCGTGGGAGACACGGATGGAGCTCCCCGCTGTTCTGTAGGCCTGGCCCAGAGCTGGCTATTACAGGCATCTGGGAGTAAACCAGTGGATGAAGCACTTCCTCACTCGCTCTCCCTCATGCTGCCTTTTAAACAAATGCAAATGCATATGTGATATAGTACAGAGGCTGAAAAGAACGCAGGGCTCTGGAGTCCCACAGGGTCCTGCAGGACCAGGACCGGACCTGAGCCACCAAAGGCCCCACGCAGAGTCTTCGGAGGGCAAAGGATTTAAAAAATCTTGGTTAGGGTGAAGAAGTAGATGAAGAGAGGACTCAGTGCAGGTGCACGCAGACGCCACCGGCAGAGGCTCAGCTGGTCTCCGGGCAGTGTCTCTCCAGGGCCCAGGAGTGGCTGGCCTGACCACGGCCACTGATTCCGGGCTGTGTACCGCGTACAGTTCCAGATTCAATCTGCTGGATGTGGGATGTTCCACAGGCAGAGCTGGCCTGCCGTCCCTGGGGGGCACGAGGCAAGGGTGGACACACAGGTGAAGGCCGGCAGAACAAACCACAACGGGCCTGACCGAGAGCACCCCTCAAGACCCACCCTCCCCCTAGGGCTGCCCACCAAGCCCCTTCTTGGACCCCTAGATGGGGAGATGCCTGTCACCAGGCTGTCCACCCAGACAGGCATCACATACGCATCTCTTGCAATGTCCTGCCCCCCATCCTGGCTGCAGCTCCAGCGGGCCATCCTCAAAAGCCAGCAGGAAGGGCAGTGTGGCACCCACAGTGACGCCTGCTGCTCCCGACGCCCCTGAAGGCTCTGCAGGACGTGCCGTCGCCCGGGGGCCGCACGGCTCTGCGCCGTACCGTCAGAAAGCCACGGC